GCGTGCGCTGATGGTGGACGCGGACGTCGAGGACGCCGGGCTGCTCCGGGCCGCGGCTTAGGGCGTGAATGATGGGCGAATAAGCCACGGCGACAAAGCTGGGCAGGTCGAGTGCGGGTATGGGCGCGCACTGGACTTGCTGGGCGCGTCAGGTCCGAGGAGTAGGGCGTGCGTGTGTGCGTGTGTTGGATGCATGGGCGTGACCGTGCACCAGGGTAGCGTGCAGGGGCCGTTGGCGAGCCATGCGGGGCGATCGGGGTCGTTCGGCTGGTGCTCACCGCGAGATGCGGGCGCGCGTAGGTGCGTAGCGGGCGCGGCCAGAGCATGCAGAACGTGGAGATGATCGCGGGCGAGTGGAGGCGTGGGTGCGTGCCCAGGGCGCCGGCTCGGGGATCCGCGTGGTGACGTTGTAATGGTTTGACACAGTCGAGTTCGTGCTCGAGGGAGTAAAGGGGGCGTTCGTGCGCCGGGAAAACCTCTGTGTCCACAGTTTCTCTGAATTTCTCCGAATTTCTTCTTCCTCTCTTCGGTGAGCTAGCCACGGCAGCAGTGAGCGAGCAGAGCACGAGGGAGAGGCGAGCTAGGGCTAGAGAGTGGAGGTTCCAACAAAAATGGCTCCAACATGACCAACAACCTCATCTCTAAGCCTAAGATGAATCCCCTTCCAAGTTCCAACTCTGAAAATTTTCTTCTCTATTTTGTAATTTTCTTTGTCTTGTGAGATATTGTTGCTATTGTAAACAATCTGTATTGCAGTGGATCAATTGGCTTCTCAGGGTGAAAAAAAAATTTGAACACCCAAAGTTGAATTCCTGGATCCGCCACTGCTGACGCATTGTTGTCACCGCTCCCCTGCCGAGCCAGCTTGACCTTGTCGATGACATCCGAAAAATCTTCGTGCACATGCCTAAGGACCAGCGCCCTAGAGCTGCAGTTATCGCCATTGAACTCTTGCATAGATCTGAAACACCTGACATCAAATATCGCTACATGACGAGAAATTACCGCAACCTCACCGCCCCAAGGAGATGGCAGGAATCTATGCTAAAGCCCCGTCAACTACTTCCAGACGGACGAATTCGAGTAGGATTAAAGCCCGGAAGACAAACTCGAAGAAGAAACGTCGCCATCCGCCCGTGATTGCAGCGAAAGAGGATTTTCAGACTTCTATTTGAAATATATTAATTGGTACTACTTACGTTGGACAATTTGGTTCAAGAGAGTTTACGTTGGCATGTACATGCTTCCATTTCGTGTTTGTATTTTTTTTCCTATCGCAAAGGTCAGTTACAATCACAAAATTTCATTGATCACTACATGAAATTTTATTAGTATTTTCCGACAAATGGTAGATTTTATTAACTCAAAATGATGCATCAAGTGGATATAAACATAGAGAGTACACAACTGATCTCTGCATAGCTAGGACGCAAACAGCCAATGCCAACGCGTGCATACATACACCCAAAATATGCTGGCAAGTAGCAAAGTGATATAAGACCAAAGCTATGCTTAAGGGAGGAAAAAGAAAAAGAAAGCCTAAAGAGATCAAATACGCAATCCAAGGACTACAACTATGGCCATATCCGCACCAACCATCTCATGAACTCACAAGGGCAATGGGGTTGTTCAACAGAAACGCCTTCAGAATGGGAGCGGCGCTCAAGCATCACCGTCACCGCATCCAACCACCAAAGATCGGTTTCTAGGATTCCACCTTGCAGAACCCGTCCAAGCATATCCGGGCGATGCCTTCCAGAAGGTAACAAAGTAAGAAAATCACCATTGACCAACTTGGGTCAGACCTAGATTTTCACCCTAGAGCTCGTCGAAGCCAATCATGTGTTCTCGCCACCATTTTTCCACGATCCCAGCAGCTACATATGTTGGACTAGAAAACCGACCGCCGACACTGCACAAGCATGCCATTTGTGTCAAGCCGTAGTCCGTAGATTGCCTCCCACTACTCTAGGAACCCACCAGATCTAGAGAGAGGATCCATCATGAAGATGTTTCGATGGCGACCAAAATCAGCTGCGAGGCCGCCGTGGCAGGTTGTTGTCATAGCCGCCGGAGATGGAGAAGCCGGATCCATAAAAATCAGGTCCCAACCAGCATCAGCGAGGACGCGGCTACCCCTGAGCTCCAACACACCGCTGTACCGCCAGTGGACGGCCACTACCACGTCGTTCCTGATCTGGCGAGGCAAAACCCAACCACGCCAGTGGTAGGGACCACATCCACACAGCTGGACGTTGAGGCCAGACTTCGCCTATCATGGGGAAGAGCCGCCAGAAGGAGGCCCCGCCAGGGCAGCGACAGCGTGAGCCAAACACCGTTGGCGAGTTCCAATCGAGAGAGGAAGGTGGTTGTAGAGCAGGCGCATGTGCGGGAGAGCTCCCGCCATTGCTGACGACAGCGAGAGGCTTTGGCGAGGAGGAGAGGAGGCGGAAGGGCTAGAACGACGGCAGCAGTTCTGCCGCCCGAGTCGCCCACGGGACGATGCGGGGGCGGGGGCCCCTTCGCCTGTAATTTATTAAGATCGATATTGTATGAATTTGTCATGAAACCGCAAACTGATATGAAAACCCAATAAAACTTGGACTATGGTCAAATATAATCTACAATAGAGCGTACCACCGTAGCATGTCATCAGAACCCCGCGTTATGGAACAACTAAGTTAACCTAGAAGCCCAGTAAATTGTGAGTTTAGATGGTAGGACTAAAAAGGAAAAATGCAGTGTGTGCTGTGATAGGCCCGTTTAGATGCTATTTCCGCGCTACAAATTTGAAAATGATGTTTGTATGACCTTACAAAGCCAATCATCGGGTATTTTGTATCGTGTTTATATCTGTCTCCGACCAGAAGATTTTTACTCACCCAAGAGGGCAGCAAAATCTTTTCATTCCAGTCTAGAGGTAATAGTAAATACTGAGGAGGCAGACCCCCGAGCCGCTCCCGCGAGCGTCCTCGGGGGAAACCCTAGCCGCCGCCCCTCGTACTCCCTCGTCGACCTCTCCCCCCGCCGCCACCGCACAACGCCGCCGGGCAAAGACCGGCCGGCGTTGGTGGCGGCGGGGATCTTGCCCCTCTCCTCGTGATGGGCGTCCAGCGCGGGACGGCGCGGCGCGAGATGGCGCTGGGCTGGGCGGGCCCAGCGGCGCGGCGGAGGGCGTGCTGGGTGGCGGCGCCCCTGCCTGGCGGCGGTGCAGCTGCGGCTTCAGGCCGCTCCAACGCGCGGCGGCTGTGGCTTCTCTGGCGGCGGCGCGAGGTATCCCGGTGGCGGCTTGGCGGCATGGCGCGGCGGAGCTCCGGCGATGACTCGGCGGCGGGCTGGAGGGCTAGGCACCATCCAGTGGTGCTGCCTCCGCGGCGGTTGCGGCTTGGGGCCCTGGACCCCGATCCGATCTGGATCTGGTGGTGCCGGGGTCTGGGCCATGGCGGCTGGCGAGGCAGGGGTTTCATCGGGGCTTGTCGGCCTCTAGGCACCATGGGGGTGCCGGCGGCGACGCGTGCCCGACGTGGTGACACTGGTGGACGTGGTGGTCATCTTCTTCCCGAGATGGCCGACCAGAGGCTTGGTGATCGGATCTCGAGATCCATCATCTTGTCCCGGCTGCGAGTAGGGGAGACATGGTTGCCGGTGAAAACCGAGCCGACGGCAGGCGATGGCGGCGTTCTCGCTGTTACCTTGATGAAGGCATCGTCGTGTAACTTCTGTCGACCCACTCGTGCTGCTCCGGGGGAAACCCTAGGATCTGGTGTTCCAGATCGGACGATGGCGGCACTGCGGTGTCGTTTCTCTCTTGGGAGCATCGTTTGCGGAGCAGCGCTGGATGTCAGAGGCAGGAGGTGGAGCGGCTTCGTCTTGCACGGAGGTTCGGTGGTGATGTCAAGTCATGCCTGACCGGCAGGTGCTACGCTTCATGCCTGGTCGGCAGGTGCTACGCACGACAGATCTACCAAGGACTTCAAGCTGTGTCGGCTGGTGATACCTGGCAGCATGGCGCTGAGGTGTATCAGTGGCGACCGCGACGTGCTCAGCTGTGTGCGCGCAGGGAGGAGGTGCCGTTTGGCGCCGTGGTGGCGTCGATGATAGCTAGACCGATTAAGGTTGATGCATCAGTACAGTTCTGAAGATGGAGCGGTGGTAGTTGGCGGCGGCGGCATCTGAGTGCACGCCGGACCGGTGGTAGTTGGCGGCGGCGGCATCTGAGTGCACGCCGGACCGGTGAGACCCATGCCCGGCAGGCGTCCTGAATGGGTTCTCAGGTCTTAGATGTTAGGTTTGGCTGTGATGTCTGTTTGGTATTAGGCCCAGGCTATCTGCGCCCCTTCATCAGTTGAATAGAGGTGCTTAGACGGCGGCTTTAGTCTTACTGTTGTATTACTTTGTAAGGTCTTGTGAAAATAATTAATAAAGTGGCCGTATGTATCGCCCAGATGCAGAGGCCGGGGGTCATCCTCCTTTTGCTAGTGTAGACTCAAGAAATTGGATTGCAGTTACGTACATGGCATCATGCGTCTACTCTCTTTGTGTGTGGGAAGGACCAAGACATGAGCGAGGTCTATGGTCTGGTCTTGGCACCAGCAACTTGGACTCAATTGCTTTGTGTTGACTGACTTAAGAGCTCGTAACAGTGCAAGACATAATGGCTAAATATAGAGTTGCCGTGCGCACAGAATTAATCACATCCCCATCAACTTTTTAACACACGAATACTTTGCTTGCGGTCTTTTAATATCTTCTGCAGGACATCAAAACTAATGTGTAGTGCCTTATTTCATTCTTACGTTTTATGTGTAGAAATAGAACATATATCGATAAAGAATATTTTCTTTCATTCAGTCCATATATATACCGAGCTGATGCCGTAGCAGACTACTCGAGTCTCGACTACTGTCTACTAGTAGTGGGAGCACTCCATCCGGCCACTATACATATATAAGATCTTGCACAGAAAGCATCAGATCAGAGGCAGCAGCAGGTTGGTGGCCATGGCATTGTCTGGCCTCAATTTCGCCGTACTGCTGCTCTCGCTCTCCATGTTCTCTCACGCCAGCAAACCGTGCGTCGAGCAGGAGAAAGGCTCCCTCCTCCAGTTTCTCGCCGTCCTGACGAGGGACAGCGGCCTTGCCGTGTCGTGGCGCAACAACGGCACGGCAGACTGCTGTTCATGGGACGGCGTCACCTGCGACATGGACGGGACGGTCGTCGAGGTCTCGCTGGCCAACAGAGGTCTCGAAGGCCATATCTCGCCGGCTCTTGGTGACCTCACCGGACTGCGGCGCCTCAACCTCTCCCACAACTCGCTGTCCGGTGGCCTGCCACTCGAGCCGCTCGTGTCGGCCGGCAGGGTCGTCGTCGTCGACGTCAGCTTCAACCGCCTCAGCGGAGAGCTAGGCGAGCTGCCAGCAGCAGCATCTTCGGCCACTCACGGCCGGCTGCTGCCGCTGCAGGCGCTGAACGTCTCCAGCAACATGTTCACCGGAGATTTTCCATCGAGCTCATGGAAGCTGACGTCAAATCTGGTGGTGCTCAACGCGAGCAACAACAGCTTTAGCGGGCAGGTGCCGTCTTCTTTCTGCCTTGCATCACCATCCTCCTTTGCTGTGCTTGACCTCCAGTACAACAAGTTGAGTGGTGCCATCCCGCCTGCGCTTGGCAATTGCTCCATGCTCAGGGTGCTCAGCATTGGTCATAACAACCTATCCGGGACTATCCCGGATGAACTCTTCAAATCTACCTCCCTGCTAGAGCGCCTCTCCTTTCGCAACGCTGGGTTACGAGGAAGACTTGATGGTGCACACGTGGCCAAGCTCACTCGCTTGGCTGCTCTAGACCTTGGAGAGAACAATTTCACTGGCAAGGTTCCAGAATCCATAGGCCAGCTCAGGAGATTGGAGGAGCTCCTTTTGGACTACAACCAGATGTCTGGGGAGCTGCCACCGAGTCTGTGCAACTGTACAAGCCTCACAGACATTAACCTCAAGAACAACAAGTTTGGTGGAGAGCTCGGCAGTGTCAACTTTGCCACGCTGCAAAATCTAAAACGATTAGATGTTGCAGCAAACAACTTCACTGGTGTGATTCCGGAAAGCATCTACTTCTGCACAAATTTGATGGCGCTGCGAGTGTCTAGAAACAATTTCCATGGTGAGCTCTCTCCTAGGATCCTCAACCTCAAGTCCCTCACCTTCCTATCACTTTATTACAACTCCTTCACAAACATCACAAAGGCATTTCAGATCCTAAAGAGGTCCAATAGTATCAGGGCCTTGTTCGTGGGCAAGAACTTCATGCGTGAAGCCATGCCACAGGACGAAACCATGGATGGTTTTGACAATCTGCAAGCTCTTGGAATAGATCACTGCTCGTTAACTGGTAAGATGCCAACATGGGTGTCAAAACTCAAAAACCTGGAGGTATTACTTCTGAACCACAATCGATTGGAAGGACAACTACCAAGCTGGATCAAGGACCTAAACTGTCTCTTATATCTGAACCTATCAAACAACACCCTTTCTGGGAAGATTCCAACGGAACTATTGGATATGACAATGCTTAAATCAATCAAGCCTGCAGCTCATTTGGATCCAAGTTATTTTGCCCTGCCTATTTATATGACTTTTTGGCATCAATACCGCCAGGCTAGTGCCTTCCCTGAAGTGCTGGACTTGAGCAATAATAACTTCACTGGGAGGATCCCTGGAGACATTGGTCAGTTAGAAGCACTCAATACACTCAATCTAAGCTTCAACAGATTGGATGGAGAAATCCCACATTCTCTCTGTAACCTCACGAACCTGCAGGTTCTTGATTTATCCAGCAATCTTCTTACGGGTGAGATCCCGGCGGCTCTGAAAAATTTGCACTTCCTTTCCAAGTTCAATGTCTCTAACAATGACCTGGAAGGGCCTGTTCCAACAGAAGGGCAATTAAGTACATTTCCAAATTCTAGTTTTGATGGCAACCCAAAGCTCTGTGGCTCTATGCTTTCTCATCAGTGTAATCCTAATTATCCTACAGAAGCAGCTCCGACATCCATTATGATCACAAGGGACTGCAGCGAGAAGATCATTTTCGCCGTCGCCTTTGCTGTGTCCTTTGGACTAGGAGTGCTATACGAGCAGTTAGTTCTCTCCACATTTCACTGCTGCTTTCAGTCGTAATTCGTGCTACCTCGTGTATTTGGAACAGGTTGAGCTGAACCCAGCAAAGTTAAGAAACAGCTAGACAGTGGTTCATACCCATGTCCACCTTGTCAAATAATGTCTTCTCACCTTATATATCAATAGCTTGTTCTCAATGCAAGAGGCCCTACTACTTATGTACTGTATTTATCTTGTTCTCAAGAGGCACTTAGATTACACTAATACCTCGAACTATAACACTATTGTACATGTATTTTGTGTGTTCCATGTCCTACTTTCCCAAATGATCCATTCTTGTGTATGTATTTTGTGTTTCCTGTGACGTTCTTTATTTAACCGTGCGTCAACTGGCCATTTTGTATTTCTCCCTTTTCAATTTTCATAACCATTAATCATCGCTTATGCTAATTTAGAGCTCGAAGAACTTGTATCCAGATCATGGTTTTCACTTTCAGTGAGATTTCGGTGAAATTCACTTAATTTCAGTAAATTCAGTAGACACTGAAATATTACGTTTCAGCTAAAATATTTCAATAATTTCAGTACAACACAGGAATTCAAATATTTTTCAAAATATTTTTTCAAATTTCTAAAAAAAATTTGAATTCAAGTGAATATTTCGGTCATTTGGCTGAAATGGAAACTGAAATCACTGAAATTCACTAAACCATGATCCAGATGCAGTCCTTCGCAAAGAAACAAAATGTGTACTTAGGGTTCGTTTGGCACGGCTCCTCATTAGATGCTTCTTTGGAGGAGTCACTTTTTGCAGCTCCGGTTCTTAGCCAAAAACGGCTTTAGCCCCTCTCTATCACGAGAAAACTGATCCTCCTAAAGTGTCCTGTACGCTTCCTCCCTAGAAGCCACTGCCAGACCGGAGCCATGCTAAACAAGTCTTTTTTTTTTTGGCGTGAAGTCCTCATAACACACAGGGACTAAAATTTTCCTGAGCTGGGGCAACATTGTTCCTATCAAGGACAATAATGTTGGCTAAAATCTCTATCCTCCATTAGGCCAACCTATCTTTGCTTTTGACAGAATAGTCGTTTTAGTCTCTTAACTATTGCTTGAGGCTCATAGTAGTCCCTGAACTTTCAAAATGGCCATTTTAGTTCTCAAACTCTACATTTAAGCTCAATTTCATCATAGAACCATGCTGATTGCGTGTAGAAGCGTGGTGGTACTCAAAGTAGGCGAGGTAGAAGATGATGGTGTGATGAAGACCATGTCCAAACGGTGGCGATGCCATGTCTAGGGAGGCCGCGGTAGCCAAGAGAGACCTCGGTTTGCAAGAGTGGCGAAGACGACCGGGTGCGGTGTCACTGTATGATGATAATCAAGATAAACAAGGGATAAGCAAGATAAACAACAGAGGTAAACAATCACAAACTACAAAGCTTTGGTATAACCGAGGAAATAAGGTAAACCACAAGGTAAATAAGGTAACCAATCACGAGTGATACACCCTATATGACGATAAGCAAGATAAACAATCACAAGTGACAAAAGTATGGTATGAAATAATTGAGGCACACATACACGAAGATGTATCCTGATGTTCACTTTCTTGGGTGGAAGCTAGTGACAATTGGAGAGGTGTCGGCAACACCAAGTACACTCGACGCCACAAAGTCTCACCTTCTCCTTGAACCTCACACAAAAAGTAGGAGTTCAATCACTGGTGGTTGTCCTTGAGTTGACCACCAAACCTTCACAAACACTTCCCGGAGCTTTCCACACCTTAAAAGCTTCCAGAATGGACTCCTACCACCTAGGAGTCCCCACAACTCCGAGAGAAGAATTTGGCGAAGCACAAGTAGAGGATCACGATTTTGGCTTGGTAGAAAAGTAGATCTAGGGTTCCTTTTTGATTTCACAAAGTTTTAGCAAGATTGGTTGGAGGGAAAGGGGGGAAGCAAGCCTTGTCAAGGTCAATAATGGGAGGCAACTCTGATCCAAAGTTGGGGTTGTAGGTAGAAGGGGTGGCTTTTATAGCCGCTCCGCCCCACCCACCAAATTCCAAAAATTATCGACATGGACTTACCAAAAAAGGGTTTTCCCCCGCTTTGTATTCCAAAGCACCAACACCGATCACAGAGCATACGCTGGGGCGAGCAGCACAACAAGCCAAAGAAAAAGAAGAAGAAACAATGCCAACACCGGCAGCTCGACAAAGCGCGGATGACCCACTACCTCTGCGCCCTCTGAAATCTACCCACCACGATCCTAGGCTCCGATCCTCCGCATACCAAACAACACCTTCAGGAAGGAATGCGACGCCGACGACGCTGCTCGCTGGACGTGTCCTAGGGTTTCCCCCGGCACGCGGAGGGTAGAGGGGAATGAAGACCACCGACACCCTCCAGGGAGGAATGGTGGCACCCGCAGGCGTCACCACATCGGAGCCGGAAGAACCGGCAAGGATTTCTCCCAACTCCAAACCCCACCGCCCAACCGAATCGGAGCGAACCAGCCAGCTCGCCGCCCACCAGCATGCGCCACCGCGGTCACAACGCCACCCACGCCGTCTCACTGAGATCACCACCACGAGGCCAAGAGAACGATGAGAGGAGGAGTTGGTCGATGGGAGCAGCGGCGCCGTAGCCGTGCGGGAGGGAACCACCTCCTCCGCCGTCGTGCAGGAGGCTCGTGCCTCCGTCACCGTCGCAGTCGCCGTCTGGACGCAGTAGCAGGGCATACCAGGACACCCCTGGCCCGGCCAGGCCCAAATCGGGCCCGCTAAGCCCCACCGGCCACGCTGCAGCAGGGCGGCGCCAGCACCGCCAGCCCCCAACGCCCATCGCCACTCCCCCGCCTCCTGTAAGCCATGCCACCGACCCGCCCCGCCGTCGGCCCGCCCAGACCCAGATGGGGCCCGAAGGGCCCAGATCTGGGCCGAGCAGGCGCCGCCTGGCCTCGCCGCCGCGCCACCCCGCCACCAACGGCGACGCCACCGTCCAGCCGATATCCCGCATCGCGCCAGGAAGCCCCGCCGCCACGCCGGACCGCCGCCGCCTAGGGAGCACCCCCCGGCGTCCTCCGTCCCGCGCCGGAGAGCAACCGAGAGGGCAATGGCCGGGGGCCACCGCCACCAGCGTCGCCCGGGCCAGGCACGGCGGCAAACGCCGGTGACGGCGGCGAGGAGGGGCGAGTGAGGGAGAGTTGGCGGAGGAGGAACCGGGGCGCGGCCGGTCGCCCGCGGGGGCGACGCGGTCGCGAGAGCCCGAGTTGTTTTAGCTGCCTATTGCTTTTAACTGACTGACTGACTGTTTTCTCGACATGGACTTACAATCTCAAAGATAAGATCTGGTACAAGTGCAGAGTTATGGTCCATCCAATCGCGAAACCACCAGACCCAAAGATAAAACCCAGAGCTGCGGGGTTTAATTCCGGAGCAATTCAAGAGCTATGGGACAAAACCCGGAGTTCTGGACCTTAGCTTCGCCTTGTCCAGAGAGGCTGGCACAGGGAAACTTAAGGTGAATGTTGTCGTGTAGGTTTATGGTTTGACCTTTGTGGTGGACATGGTATATACTTTAGTGATCTAAACGATAATATATTTCTTTACAGAGGGACTATATTTTAATGTTGTGATCCACCAACTTGAACGCCACCTCAACCCCTCTTTCTAGTGTGGCTTTTCCTATACTCAAAGAATCCAAAACCTCTGGAAAATTACGATGCAAACCCACCTTTTGCCTTTTTATTTTGGTGGGTGGGGGGGGGTCTCTAACCTACATACATTTCCTTTCTTGGGACTATGCATATAGATCACTCGATAATCCCAACTAATAATGTATCATCAACACCAAACTACCATTAGGGCTTAGGTGTCCTTTCATACGG